AAAATGATGAATACTCTTCTTTAGAAAATTAAATTAATCGTGTGATTACAAAAATTATTTATATCTTGAGAAATATATATACTTCTATTAATAAACCACGATTTCTGATTTGAAGTGTTACATATTTAGAAAAATTTGCATTTATTTTTTTTTTTTTTTTTTTTTAGAATATCACACAGATACACAAAGAAACATATTTTCAATTATGGAAGTAAAAAAGTACAATTATTTATTTCATTTTAATATCATTTTTGAGATATTATATTGCAAATTGCTATAGTTATTGGAATATATTTATTCTTGTACAAGAAAAAACTTAAAAAATCGACAAAAATCACATGATTTAATTCTAGAATTTCTAGGATAGGGAATATAAAATTTCTATTTTATATTTACGGCCTTATTTGAAGAATTGTTTTTTTAATTTCAAAGAATGAAAGAAAATAAAATGAGGATAAAATCAAGCGAAAGTAAGACAAGCAAATGTCATTAAAAGAACAGATTAGAATACTTACTGTATTAACAATAAAATTCGAAATTTAATGTTAATTTTAACAATAGATATGTAATAAATATAAAAATTAATTCATTATTTTCTTAGATTTATTTGTAAAGAATTATTTCTTATAATTTTAATATATATTATTTTACATTTTTACAATAATTATTTATGAAAAAAACTATATTGTTCTATTTATATTATGAATATCCAATTTAATAATTTATAAAAGTTTATATATAATACTTTATATATAAAATAGAATTAATTGAAATCAAAACCTTTAAAATATCATTATTAGATTTCAATTTATTTATAAATTTAGTAATAAAATATATCATTTTATAATAATTTGAATTATTAAGAAAGTTAGGAATAAAAAAAATAATCTAATATACTACATCAAAGAGAAAATTAAAAATTTTAAATTAATTAATTGCATAAAAATAAAAATTTGCATATTTTGTGTCACGATGCAACTTTCTGGCACAAAAAATTTTTTTTAAGATAATAAATATTATATTCAACGAATTTGTTTCAGACAAGTTTCAAATTTTTTAATAAAAAACTTATATATATTGATCTGATAATTGGTTTGAAATAATTTAAATGAAAAATAAAGCTAACATAAAATAAAATCAAGTTAGGAAAATAAAATAGAATTTAAATTTCAATTTTGAACAATTTAACAAGAAAAAAAAAACGTCTAAATTAATTCTTAATATTACAGTATGTCTAAAAAATAAAACAATTTATTCTTTTATACTTTCCTGAAAATGCCATCTATCAATCATTCATGAAATTTTATAGGTTATGTAATTATATTTTTCATAATTTTTCATTATCTGTAACAATTAATGTAGTGAGTCTAGTATCTAGTTCTAACATGAAAATACAATAAAAGAATGATACTTGTACAATATATGTGCTTGAATCGAATTATATTTAAATTTTTGGCCAAAATTTACTTGCTCATCTAATGTATTCATATAATTTACTTTCTTATGGTTATTTATAATAATAAGTAAAAGGAAATAACGGAAATTGTTATAATAATATACACAATTGTAATAAAAATGCTTAAAGCAATTATGATAACAAAACTTTCCAAAAATTTATTTTTGTTTTGGTGTTTTATTTTTAGTTAATGTAATATAATATAGTATGCATATTATATTACACCAATTTTTAACCAAAAATATTTTTATATTTATTCTTATATTGTATAACATTCTTTCTTTAAAAGATGTTTCACTGTATTTAAATAAAGTAGGCATTCTATACATTATCAATGTCTTACTTTTTATATATAATCACCGTGTATAATCAGATATATTATAAAGATCCATCTGAAATAATGCATATATGAATTATATGTTATTCTATTATATATATATATATAATTACAAATTCATTATATTGAATCATATGTATCCCATCAGGCTTGAAAAAGTTAAGATGTATTTTTATTAAATATACTATCGTATTATATATAATACAATATAATATTAATCATGTTACGCAGATACATCGAACTCGCGATAAATGCTACTATCAACATGCATAAAATAATTATTTAACGATTGATTAAATTTTCTAATTCGATTGAATCATTATACAATGCACGATTGATTCGATAAAAAAATTTAGGATTTCTTAGCGAAGAAACATTTTGATATAAATAGGAGATAGTTCCATATTTAAAAAATTGAGATTAAAACATCAGAAAATCTGAATATTTAAGTTATATAAATTATATAAACTATTTGCCTATTATAGTCAAAAAAACAAAGAAAATTATTTAAAGATTTATTAATAATCATTCAATTATTTTTTTCATTAATATTAAAACATTAATTTTATAAATATTTTTCCAATTTATCTAAAATTGCTGCAAGATTGCTCTTCAATTTTTACCGCAGCTCGTTATGTTTTGTTCGATCGCCAATGAGATCTCAGATCCGTAAAACCTCGAGTATATCTATATCTCAACACGATTGTTTTCAGTGCGAAGCATGAGGGCGTTGCATACGCAAACGTAGAATTTCATTGCGCGGTTGAAAGACGGCGCAGAGCTGTAAAAAAAAAAAAGAAAGTCGAGAGCTATATGTCCCCTTTCCACGGTCTGCCACGACCGCTTTTACAGCGTCATCCTTTAACGTGTTGTTCCATATATCCCCAAAGCGGTCAGAAACGCGAAGAAAATGCATCTTCCCCGAGGAGGAAGAATGCGCTTTTCATTCACCGCGTATATAGTTTTCTTTGCTGCAAGCTTGTGACTGTTCCCGTGAACTCGGCCACGGCAAACAAAGCTTGATGAAACAATTGTCGACTCGTGCTACGCGATAAACGAGTTGACCGATTAACACGTTTGTTGCTCCAGACCTTTAGTCATCATTAGCCAACCATAGATGCCGCTAGTGTTTTTTGTTCTCGTAATATAAGAGATAGATTTAAATAAAATTTATTTTAAATAATAATTAATTAGTCTCTTGAACGTTCAACATCATTTAAGATGCATAAATTTTTTGTCGTTATTATTATTATACAACATTATTATATTAAACTTTCATTTTTATTTTATTTCTTATATTCTTATTATATTATACATTACAAAGCATTATTTCATATAATATACATTGAATGAAATTTTTATATTATAATTTTCATAATGCAATGATAATTAATATTTTCACCGTGCAATGACTTTGATCATGATGATATACGATATAATAATTAAGATTGAGGACAATTTAAAATAATTTGAGATTAAATATTACAAAACCGAAATATTTTCACAAATATTTTCAAAGCAAATACTTTAAAATTACTATTTTATTTAATAGTTGAATTTAATATGATTTTAAAATATTATTTTGATTAATATTATGAATCATTTTAAAATACAATATTTTTATTTACAGTGTTAAGTTTATTATTTACAATTATATTTAAGAATTTAAATATTAAATTGCTTGTGCACATCTTTATTCTTTAGATTATAGAGCGTGATTCATATAATTTTTATTATTTATTATTATTAGGTAATTCTAGAAATAACATCTTTTTCTTTTTATTTTTTAATTTGCAATAAACCATCGTATTATATCGTTATATTGTAAAATTAATATGAGACATATCACTATTTATAATATATTATTCAAATTTATGCGTAAGTTAAATGTTATTTTAGAATGCTATATCGTTAATATTTAAATTACAAATAAATTTTATCGGAAATAGCATTCCAAAATAATATTCATTATTTATACTTAGATTCA